TTTTCTTTGGTATCTGGTAATTGGCGTGCTCACTGTTTGCCCACCTCCATTCTGGGGAATAGAGGGAGAGCCTGAGCTGAGTTGCCACCCCCCATCATCACCACTGGTGGGTTCTTCTGCCACAAACCCACAGCACACTTACCCAGCCAAAGCACAGGCACTGATCTGTTCCCTTCTTGTTCTGTTTTTTATCACAGGAAAGAGGAGGGGGCTAAAGGAACGGAAAGAGAGTTTAAAGGCAAAATCTCTCAAGCAGCTTTGAGGCAGGAACTTAGGACATTAAAGACATACTTATATTAAGCTATAGATTTTTTTTTCTTTCCCCCTCTTTTTCTTCTGTCCCTCCCCTCCCTTTTCTGTGATTAAAGACTGCAAGATTCAGTCGTGATTTTGCTGGTGCTGTTTTTTCTTTTTCTTTTTCTTTTTACCCGACTGGTGTTGTTTTGCTGTTATATAGCCCCCCTTCTGCCTTTGGAGGACTCTTTGTCTCCCTATATTACACAAGAAGAGTCAGCAACCACTGCCAAATAGCCAAGCTACAATCACACTCTATAAAACACCAAAACCCAGGCAAGAACCAACACCAGCTGCCATATAGCAGGGAAACAGACAACACCTGTGAAAGTTACTCTGAGTTAAGCAATAAGAAGAGAGAAAAGGGAAGCCCACATCCTGATCACATCATCCTGGAAGCAATCAGAACATAAAAAATTACCAAAACACATACTCAATTAAGTATTAAAGCCACAGATAAACATAAAACATGTCCAAGAAGCAAAAGCAGATGATCATATCAGCTCATGTCCAGAAAAAAGGTAAAATGTCTGAGACAAATGACCTAGAAGTACACCTGGGCTCCATTCTGGAAGGAGGGCAGGCCTTGGAAATGTCTGAGAACGAATTCAGAAAAATGATTATAAAATGTTTCAAAACACTTTACAATGGAGTTGAGAAAAATAAAGAAGAAGCAAGGGAGGCGCTACAAGAACAATCAAATAAGATAGATACAGCATTGGAAACAATTCAAAACCTACAGAAAGAGGTCCAAACAATCAATAACAAAATAACAGAAATAGAAAACACTCTGAAAGGGCAGAGGTGTAGAATAGATGAGATGGAAGGCGGAATCAGTGAGCAGGAAGATAAATCTCTCAATACCACTAAGATAGAAGAACAAACACAAAAAAGGATAAAGAATTCTGAGGAAAGTCTAAGATTCATGTTGGACAACATGAAGAGGAATAACTTAACAATTATCGTCATCCCAGAACAAGAAGAATCACACAAGTCCACAGAAGAAATAGTCGAAGAACTGCTGGAAGAAAATTTCTCTAAAACCTGAAAAGCAAAAAG